TAACATGTATCTGAGGCTTTATACAAGTTTGAGTGAAAGAATTACAAATCGAAGAATGAAGAGGGTCACTAGCAGGTTAAAATGGATGAAAGATTGCATGAGAAGTTGAGAGAATGCAATCGGGGGATCTGCTCCTATAGGACTTTGTAGAGAGTTTGCACATTGTCATCTTTAAAGATAAAATTTATGAGACCAATTGATGTAATGAGGAGGGAGAGGAGACAATGTGCAGGTGACCATTCATCAAAAGGGTTGTGCATTTTTTTCCTATCTACTTTCCTATCTACTAAGATACTCACTCTCCCTTCTAAAACTTGTCTCATATCCTTCCAGCTAGAAGAGATCTTGATCTTGCTGTGATTACATTTTGTTGTTTTCTGTAAATGATCATTACAGACTTAAAGCAGACCACCGGTGAAAATAAGATGAGGGAATAAAATCCTATGAAGATCATTTACCATAAAAAGACATTATTAGTCTGATGAAATCTTTCAGCTTTTCCACTAGGAAATCTGAGTGGACCGCGAAGTGTAAGGAAACATCCTCTGCAGTAGCCAGCAAAGCAGAAAACAAGTCAAGTATGAAACTTGTGTAATAGTGGCACAGCTCAAACAGCTAGATAATTACAGTTGCACCCCAAGCCCACTCTTCCTGACTTCTTCAGTTCTACAGTTGGAGTAGGATTAATCTGCTGCCCATTAATCTCCTTTTACCACAGGGAGGTCTGATAGTCCCAGCCTGTGTGTCCCTTCACGCAGCTGCTGTGTTTATTAAAAAGAACCAGCCAGAGAAGTGCTTTTATCTTCTTCAAACATGTCTCTCCCAGCAGAGTTTTTTTTTGAGTAAGTATCTTATCTTTTGAGCTATATAAACTTTCTCTTATGAGGGAGAAAACTATTTCTCCTTTTTTCCTTACACCATTGTTAATGCACGTTGCAATCCATATTTATAAAAGTTACTTATAGTAATTATGCAGCTTGTATATAACAGATACCTAGCTATCTCTTGAAATTTTTAACTGACAGAAATGTGCAGATTTTCATACAAGTGATGTTCCAAACAAAAATATTTAATAGTTTAGATATTTTCTTAAAACTGAATTGTGATCTGAGGACTCAGTAAGGCTTCAGTGGTGTCTCATTGTCAGAGGCATTGCAAAAGAGCCATTTTGCCAGAAGGTGGGGGGAAAAAAACCCACTTGCGACTGCTTTTATAGCTCTATAATTCATTGGTTTCTCCCTGAGAGACACTATCGCAGAATCACAGAATCGTTAAGGTTGGAAAAGACCTTCAAGATCATCAAGTCCAACCATTAACCCAACACCACCATGCCCACTAAACCATGTCCCGATGTGCCATGTCTACACGTTTTTTGAACACTTGCAGTGACTCCACCACCTCCCTGGGCAGCCTGTTCCAATGCTTGACCACCCTCTTGGTGAAGAAATTTTTCCTGGTATCCAATGTAAACCTCCCCTGGCACAACTTGAGGCCATCTCCACTCATCCTATCACTAGTTACTTGGGAGAAGAGACCAACACCCACCTCACCACAACCCCCTTTCAGGTAGTTGTAGAGAGCAATAAGGTCTCCCCCTCAGCCTCCTCTTCTCCAGACTGAACTACCCCAATTCCCTCAGCCGCTCCTCATAAGATTTGTGCGCCAGACCCCTCACCAGCTCCGTTGCCCTTCTCTGGACACGCTCCAGCACCTCAATGTCCTTCTTGTAGTGAGAGGCAAATGTAGTAGTTCATGTGCGGATAGATGGTCTTCATAAAAGATACAAGAAAGGAGCCCATTAATGCAGGAAAATAAATAGGTAACTCTGAGTTTATCCTAATAGTATAAACAGCTCATATAAGCCTGATGCCTTGAGTTCTCCTTATAGGATGAACAATTGTGTGTACGTCCTGTATTTAGACTCCAGACACAGATTTTCTTTAATTGGAAAATAAATAGTGTGTGGCAGAAAAATAGTTGACTTATGTTCTGGCCACCCACATGGTGTACAGTCTGGCAGAAAAATTGCCCATTCAAGTCTGACCTGCTTTATAATACTGTAAATATCAGATTTAAGCTGGCTGAATCCCTTGAAAATTGTATGTGGAGATACCTTAGTGGTAACTCCAAGTAACGTTAGAGTCATTTCCGTCTTCCAAGGGAGATTTGTCACAGACTTACCTGTCAAGTTTTGTTTTCACACACAGCTGCTGTTACCAGGAGTTCTGTGTGCTAGATCTGGGGGCTGGTGTGCATAGCATGGCAAAGACAGTTCACAGAATTTTCTACACATGGTAGTATGAGTTATGGCACAGGATGAGAGGAAGTATTATGATTATTGGTAATCTAATAATATAAGAACTACCTTCTGGTTCTCTAGCACCATTCGTGTTAAGAAGAAATCTATGCACTGGTCAGGATTTAGTGTTAACTGTATTCTAACATGCTGAAGGTGAACAGTGTGATACTTTCCAGCACAGACCTTACAGCTGAATTCTCAGTTACTGACATGAAAGTGTACATAGAATTTCACTTTATCTTATGTCAAAAGTGTTGGTGTTTTGTTTTGGTTTATAAAATCTATAGGAGTATAAGCAGCTGAAAAAATAGCTTCAGTTATTGGAAGATAAGTCAAATTGGACTGTATTTATTCCTAGAACTCTGTTTGGTTGTCAGTGAAGACTTAACCATTTTAGAACTGCTAGGTTTTGGTTATAATGGTCACAGCTTCTAGGACAGTAAAACATCAGTGGTGAACTGAGTTTTGCAGAATACTGGAGAATTTTAAAGGGAGGTTAACACAGAAGGAAAAGTATACAGCTAAGTAACCTCTCTTTCCACAGTGGCTTCTACTTGCTTCCCTTCATATACGTACATATTTATATACATATGTATGTGTGTCTGTAGACATATAAATAAGATGGGTAGAGGAAGTCTTGGGATGTAGTTTACAGTGCTCAGTTCTTGCTCATCCATAGTCCACACCATCTGACTTTTCAACGACAATAAAGCATTACAGTGGTCGTGGAAATATAGGGACAGGGTTGTAAAGTGTATTAACTTGTGTTAAAGAGAAGAAAGAAAGCCTAAGAGAGATCCTAGTTCTCAGTCTTTGTGCTTGAAGGAGTTCCTTGTGATTACTACTGTTTAACCCAGCCTGCATCAGCCACAAAGGCCATGTACAATGTCTAGAAACTTCCTAGGACTGCCCTGAATTCCCTTGCTTCTTTCTATTGCCATTATAATGCCCGACAGAGGGGGAAGTGCCCTTAGTGCGATCCCTGCATCAAGATCATCCAAAGCCGAAGTCTGGATCTGCTGGCCTGTAACGTGATGATTCCTTTAGTCACACAGCCTCACAGTGAAAATGTAATGTGTCCTTAATGTTCCGTTCTGTCTTCTTTTGGCGTCTGTTTTCAAGCACCTTATTTTCCAGGTATGAAAGTCTACCTCTCAGTGGTTCCAAGGACTATCTCTGCCCACCCCCAGTTCATCAGCTGTATTTCCACATTGCCTTTGTATGGTGGTGGTATTTAGCTGTACTTGTAGTCCCTTGATATTTTTGTTTGTATTCTCTTTCCACTGGTATTTAATGGAAGAACTGATACTATGGTATGTAAAGATTTGGATAGAAAACTGTTCCATTAAATAGTGGAAATATCTCCAAAGTATTGTTGATGTAGAAACACCTTTTATGTTGCAAGAGAATGCAACTCTATCTGGCCGTTGCCTGAAAACAGATGTAACTCAGTTCTGTTCCTCTGTGGCACACTGCACCGGGAGTAAAGTAGCAATAAAGAATGCATAAAATGCATAAAGTTCAGTATTATGACACCAGTGCTCTTGTGCCAGCGTTTTCCTCTGCACAAACAGAATAAGGTCACTTTAGGTAAAAGAAATCTATCTGTCACAGGAGGAAAATGTGTGAGAGAGATTTGTAGACACAGAAAGCAAGCCAGCCTTTTGCAGCCTTCTCTAACTTAATAAATTAATAAACAGCTGTTTGGCTTTTCAGATTTTCTCAGCAGTAAGTGTTGTTAATCAATTTTTAATGCAACAATTAAAAAGATAGAAAAACTGCTATCCAGCTTTCACCAGAATAATTGATTTCTGCAAGACCTTAACTATCTTTACTGTTCTGCTTCAGTGTAACAGTTCTATGTAGATAATATGAATAGATCCAATGGAAGTCAGAGGAAAACATAGCTATGTTTGTTTTAAAAAGCTTTCTGAAAAGTTACTGGCAACCTAATGGTTCAAAAATGAGGCCACTGTGTATTTTGGATTGTAGGCATTTATTCTGCCTGCATATATTCTGAGGAATGCAAATAAAAAAACATCTGAAATACTTGGCAACTAGGGCTGCCAGTAATGCTTCTATAACTACGGTAAGAATAACCAAAGTGAATCAGTAATTATATGTGTTTAAACACCAAATCTGCTGAACTTTTCAGTTGAAAAAGACAAAGTCCAAAACCGTAGGAATTCCCAAACTTGGTGTGTTATGACTTAGAATTGAGGCTGATATTACCAGAGCTTCCAAAGCAATAGTGCAGCGCTGCTATACCAAGGTATCTGGTGGTAGATGATGTGCTTGGGGTGGGCAGAAAGAGGAAGGTTTGTATTATCTTAGGTGTCTGCTGGAAGTGCCAAAGTGAGGAGGCTCGTCTCTGTTTTTAGTTTACTTAGCATAGCGCCGAGGATGAAGCTGATGATCTCATAGGTGTTTTCTCTTACGCAGTCAGTAGCTTAGATCACCTTTTCTTATGTTCGTAAAAACACAATGTTCTCGTAGACAACTGCAAAATTTGTTCATCTCCTTAAGATACACCTGGAAAGGACTTAATAAGTTTTTAAGCTCCATAGGAGGATGAGGGTGCATTGCCCTGTTCCTCTGTTCATTCACATGCCTGTAGCATTACTTACATTGCCACACTACAAGTGAGGTATCTGCTGGTAGCAAAGAACAGTATTGAAATGCTCTGCTTCTGTTTTGCCAGGTAACCGCATTTTGTGATGTTGATGAAAAGAAGATAACAAAGGGATTCTACACTTATGAAGAATCTGAGGTCAGTTATAAGTACTCTTGCATTCTTTACTGTGATCTGGAAGTGTTCTGGGAAACACGATGAAAGAATACGCCACTGATTTTACATTTCGTATAGCAACTCATTTTGGTAAGGAGGCTGTGACAGAGAACTAGATAGCTGGGGATTGATACTGGAGTGTGACGACTAGGGACTGTGGAGCCAGAACTATGGATCTCTCACTCACTGAAGTCAGTTTAGAAAGACAGAAATGTATATAGTTTGAATGGATTCTGATGATGCGATAGAACATAGGCTTCATTGACAATTTTTTCTTTTAAGTGGGAGTAGAATTTGGCTCACGATGGTTAAAAGTCAAACACCTATTAAAATAAAAAGGCTTCTGTGCTTAACTGTAACCTGTCTATACATTACAGTTATACTGTATCTGAAAAAAACTTTGATAGGTTTCTTGGGAGCCTAAAATTGTAGGCAGCAATATTTTATTCCCTAGACAAGCAGCATGATATTTAGGTAATAAACCATGTAGAAAAAAAATCTTGTTGCAGTATTAATTTCATGATAGCAATTAGCTCAAGGTTTACAGTGAAGTTTCATCCGGATCCAGTCCCTACAACAGTTGGTGAAAAGACAGTTCTTAGTTCACCGGGCATTGGATCAGACCCTGTGAGCGCAGTCTTCAGAGAGCACGATCTGGTGTTACAGCTTAGCCAGCCTCGCTGCAGGGGTGGTCCGACTGCGCTCCCTGGCCTCGGCCACACGCTCCCACTGCTTTGTTTATAAAGGGTCTAGCAAGCTTGTGGCTAAAGGATGACTTGATTCAGTTAGCTGATCTGGCAGAAAAGAAAACCTCAAAACAAAAAGTTCTCCAGCAAGTTATCTTGTGAATCAAATTACCCTGAGGTTGCATGATCCTTCTATCTGATGGAAGTAGGACTGAGGGAGGGGTAGGGGGAGAGGAGGGGCACCTCCTCAGCTAGAGCTTGTGGTTAGATTAGAGTAACTGTAAATTCAAATTCTATACTGGGAAGGTAATGAGTGCTTTCAGCTGCATGAAAGCAACTGGAGTTCAGCGTTTTGACCTGCAATACTGAGGACTCGCTAACTACCAGTGCAGTAATACCGTCAGCATAATCGTTACATTTGCCTTCCTAAGACATACCCATCCTCTCAGACCAGTCGTAAAGAAGATTGTACTGCAACCTGTTGTGAATTCTTAGAAGATTCTGCAGCTTGGATCCATGGTGAAGTCCCAGTTGGGCATAAGCCATTTAACATCTCCCACTGAGATGGAAAGATCCTCCTTTTGTATCAGCTACTGTGCCTGCTCTGATGCCTCTCTGATGGCACAGTAAGCTGATTCAGCTCACTAAAGTGTCAGAAAATCAACCTGCCAGAAAAAGGAAGAACATATTTTTTATGGGGTAGGCTATTAAGGCAGCATACTTTGCAATCAGATCAAAGCGGGAATTGTTTGGGACAGGGCTAGAAGTAGAGCTTGGAGGTAAGGAAGAAGCAGTGGAGGAGTGAGACCTTCTCCTTTCAACAGCAGAAAGCTCCTAATTCAGATCTGGTGGTGTGTGTAACTTCATTGAAAGAAACACAATTTTGTTGAAAGATTATGGTAAGAAAGTAAGGGGTATTTGAAACGACTGGCAAAATAATGAGTGGAAGCATTTGACCAGCTGGACTATTTAGCATGAGGTCTCAAAAATCATTCCCCCCCCTCTTAGTAGCTCCTACAACTGAGTTAGCAAGTAACCCCAAGTGCGCCTCTACTGAATTCTACTGCTTTTTCCTGCAGGAGAGACCAAAACCAAAAATTCCTGTATGTCACTTCAGAGATGCAACTCCACCATTCATTATCTGCGTGAAGCTGGTGAGTACCACCTTTAGCCTTGACTATGTGTGCAAAATCAGTATTTGCTCCTTATGACTGTAAATAGCTTTTTCTATAAAGCTTTTATTATGCAGTTGAATATACTTTTTATCAAACTCATTGTGCAGAGTATTTCATGGATTTCAAACAGCAGTACTAAGTAAAGTAGTATTAAGAATAATAAAAGGTACAGCTTCTGTAAAGGAGCTTGGATCTGTTTTACCTTCTTGCCCAACAACATAATACACACACATGAGGCTCTACAGTCAGCCACCTGGTCTTGTTTATTTCTAGTATTTTGCAGCCCTATGTATTTGTTTTTTATATCAGACCTTAAAAGCCATTTTGTTTGGCACTGCCAATTCTGAAGCCTCTTCTGTGCCTGGCTCTGGTAACTTTCTTATTTCAACTGGTTTAATTGACCTAATAACATAACTAGAAGATGGTAACCAGCAGTTATTTTGCTGTTATATTTAAAATGGCAAAGCACGACGTGTGGGATAACAGAGGCTTTAAAGCAAAATAGAAGATACATTCTAGTTGCAAACGCTAGTAAAAAAAGTCCCTAACAGTACTAAAACCTACATATACACACTGACATTCTAACGCTGCACTAGATCTGTTCAAAGATTGATTAGCTGAATCTCATCTCATCTGGTATAGTCTGCCTTAACTTAGCACTCCCAACTTTACGATCAGCTCTGAGATCATAACTATGAGTTGTAAAGCCAGACTGAAAGTACCTTAGGGCATTATCATGTACTGTTGGTTGATAAACTCTTGGATAAGCTAGTAATATTACAACTAATTTAATTTTTCATACTACATATAATGGTGGGTGGAAGTCCCTAGACAAAACATCTGTGCAACCTGTTATAAAGCACATTTAATTTACAAAGGTCTCACAATGAGACTATTATACAACATCTTGCCTGAAAACTCTGGTTGTACTCTGACTTCAGTTGTGATTTCAGTATATTTTCCACTCATTTCTGAGCGGAAGAATGCCACTGAGCATTTTCTACCTGCTGATCACAGAACACTATAGGCCATAGTAACATTTAAGAAGTATACAGTATTTTCTTTGGAAAAACAGTCTGACCTACTTGAAATGGTTTCAGAGTTTGTAAAGTTGCTTCTAAAATCTGTCTTTGAAGCAGCTCACTTTTTAGGAGAATTTAAGAAAGTCAATAGCCATTCGTATGGAGCCAAATCTCTAGAAACTGCAGGCAAGGTCTCTCCTTACGCCTCTCCCTTTGTGACTGGATTATGCAGTTGCTTACCGTGAAAGTTGGTGTTATAAGAGCCGATGGCAAAAACACCCTTGTGCAGAGGTAAGGAGAGGTCAATGCGCGTGGAGTTCCAGCAGGGTTATGCACTGGGAAAACAAGAGGGGCCAGACCAGAGAAGAACGGTGCTGATGATAAACTTGCGTAACACCACAGTGAAAGTCCATAATGGAGCTTACCTCTCTCCAGGGTTTAAACATACTGGTACCTGTTAATAATATGAACCTCACAGTACACCCATGCCATTATACTGCATTATTCTTTTAATATTATGAAGACAAAGAATCAGGTTGTTAGAAAAACAAAGAAATTATAAAAGAACCGAAACCAAATTTTTCTGTTAGCAGCGCCTAATACCCTGTTATCACCGGAGAAACCACAGACAACGTAAGAAGGAATAAAAACCATAAATATACCTGCAGCAAAGTATAGGAAGTGTAAACCCAGGGGAGAGGGAAGAGGAATCGGAGGGTGTCAGGAAGCAAGCAGCAGTGCTCTGAGTCCCTCTCCAGAACCAAGTCTGCTGGACCCTCCTTTGCTCCACCACTGGGTTTCGCAGCTGATCTTGAGGAACTTTTTAGCAACCTCTTTGAGCCATTGTCACACTTGCTGTGTTTTACTACTGGTAGGAGGCTTTGTGGAGGCTGTCAGCACCTGTGAAATCCCACTGTTACTACTTGCAAGGTTGTGGGTGGATTGAAATGGCCACAGTTTTCAGTAGTTTTGTGATGGAAAGTAGTCTTCTACCAAAACAAAGCAAGTTGATAAATGTCTGTGGTTTAAAATATTCGGGTATCTCGTCTGCAGCAGCTTTCAAGCTTCTAGACCTGACCACTAAAGGAAATGGTTTCTAAATGGGCTGAGCAGAGTATTGAACTTGTTCATTCATCTGTATTGATACTGTGCAGGCCAGGTATAATGCTGAAGGTTGCTCTTTGCTGTATTTATAGCTGAAGTTTGCCTTGCTTTCCGTGCAGCCCACATCTGAAGGAACAGCTAAAAACAAAACTTCCCACTTGCTTTTCTTTAATCACCTTTTCTACATTTCTTCTTCCAACATGCTTTTTGAAAGTGGGAGCATAGGCAAAAGTAGAATAAGGGATAAGTACATAAATTAAGACTGCATCAAATGAAAAATACTGTCTTTTTTTGCAATAGCTACTGCTGCCTCTCTGATGCTATTGACCCAGGTTTATCAAATTAAACTGCAAAAAAGTGTTTGCTGTTACAAGTTAAAAGTCCCAGGCTGATGTGAAAGACTGTATTTGAGACCGTAAATTCCTCTGCAAAAAGGGTGCTCTCCTTGCGCCTTTGTGGTGGAAACCCAAAACTCCTGTGTTTGAGAGATTACAAATGACCTGTATCTTCAAACTCTTTAGGGCAAGTAGCTTTACCCAGCTCTGTGTTTCAGGGCATGCAGCAAACACAGAAAACCCCAGTGAACGTAAGGACGTTTCTTGTGTAACAACTACAACCTCACTCCGTGTTGCCTGGAACTGCTGGAAGTTTATGTAAGGCAGAATTAGCTGCAGATCCTCTTAGCTAATGACAAAAGTCATTAACAAACTCCTTAACATTCCAGACTTGCAAATTTAGCTTTATTATTTACCAATGTAAGTCCATCAGCGTCTTTCTGAAGAAAGTGTTCTGGGGCCTTATTGTCTTCGGTTTTGCTGTTCGTGGTAGAGGATTATTTTTAGTTTTGATACAGACAAAACCTGCACGTCTATATGCAGCTCTAAGAGGGTAATTTTGAAGATTAGATATGTTTATTAAGTGGGTTGTTTGCAGGAAGCGACTCTGCTGGCCATGTACTTGGAGCAGTGTTCGCTTGTTTATTGTTTTCAGGCAGTTCCTAAAAAATCGTTTTTGAAAAAGCAGTCATCCTACGTGACTTTGCTCAGTTTGCCTTTTAAAATGGCTCCACAATGGGCGGTAGCTGAAATTCTGCGCTCTGTGTGGGTAAGTCGTTGCTGAAGAGAATAAACTTGTGGCTTTAGCTTGTCAAAACTGCGTAGCAGCCTGCAGTACCACTTCACCTAAGGGTCTGCACTGTGTATTTTCTCTCGCTTTGAGGTAAAAGCAAAACGCTTAGAAGTCATGTATTGTGCCTGGTTTTGGCATGGATTCCAAGTGCTTGAAATGAGAGGGATTTTTATTTTTCTGTCTCAGTAATTAAACTAGTTCGATTGTATAAAGTTTTCAGTAAATTTACTGTTAGACCAGTTATTGTAAAACCCTGCCTTGTTCCGTCACCTCCGTCTTCTGCTCTGGGAATGAAAGATTTCTTTTTAATTCTCCTGCTTAATTTAGCATCTGGGCTCTTTGAGATATTTTTTTTTTAATACATTTTTTTTAACCCTTCTTTGGAGCAGGTTGATTTTTCAGCAACTGTTTCATACCCTATGCTCTAACTTGAGAAATCTTGGGTTTATGAAATCATTAGTGGAGGCTAAAGGTCATAATCAAGGCCTACATTTCCGAGTAGAATTCCCTGTGGACGTGAGTGGTAAGTTTTGCAGATGGACCAGTGACACTTTGGGATCTTAACTGAGTTGCAAAACTAGGACCCAGTCCTTCAAAGCCTGAAATACCACCAAGTATTCTTGATTTCAAGATGTAAAAAAAAAAAGCACTCAACATCTTTCACAATCGAGGCCTTACGGTTCAGATAAGAAGTTGGTTACCTTAGGTAAGTGGAGCCCTTGCTTAAGAAGTCTAGTGCCACAGGCCCTTCCTGCCCTTCTCCAAATTATTTATTAGCTATTCTCTTATTTTATGGTTAGTAAACATCAGAGCTCAATTATGAGTTTTATGACTTGTGGTTACGGTTTTTTGTTGATGTTCTGGATCAAATTATGTAATCTTTATATTTTTTGGCATTGCTAGTGGTGAAAACAAGAACGTGGCAGGTAGATGAGAATCGTGGAGGGGGAAGGGGAGGTAATCTGTGACCTTGAGGCACCGCAAGAGGTCCGAAACGTACATATGCAGCAGAAACAATGCAGAGGTCTGGAGGAGACAGGTCAGCTTGTTTTGGTATCGAAATGGCTGTGTGCCTTGAGTGGAAGGCTCCCACGCAACACCCGACTACTGTGAACATGTTTTACAAGCAGTTCAGCTGATGGGTCCAAGGCGAGCTGGGAAGCTGGATGTAGTCCGCCATGTGAGACACAAACTTTAGTTTCTGAACTAGGGTTCATTAAAGATCCCAGAACAATTTTTTGAATCCAGTTACTCTAGCCAAAGTCTAGTGTTCCATCTCCTGTAATTCCACAGTTTCAGTTGGACCCTGTTCTTGTACCTTCCTGTCTGAAAGGCTTGCAGTACGGTTCTGCATTGTTAAAACTTCAATATTGCTGTTCTGGGCCAACCCGAACACCACCAGCAATCTCTTTACCTACCTCCTATAGTATTGTGAGCTTTAATTCATTTTTTTTGATGATCAGTAGAATTAAGGACTCCAGGACGACCAAAGCAGAAATGCTCAGAAACACTGAAGTTGGCATGTTTCCTTAATGACATCACTGCCTTGCAAGGTCGCTCATGAAGCAAACCTACTAGGTTCCTGTTCAGATAACGTAACTACAGCTCCAAAGGAAACACCTTTAACTATGCAAAATATTTCAGCTGCTTGATGAAAGGTTTGTTTCATCAGACAAGCTAACCACTGTTCCAAACCTACAAAAACGACTCTGTTGTCAAACGCGTTCCCTTGGTCCATTCTCAGAACATGCCTGCATTAGGAAAGCTGGCTGCAGAGCTGTGCTTAGTGTATAGTCCTTGTGTTCCACTTAGCAGCATGAGAATGAGTTGTTTAATATCCCCTCCCCCTGCATTGAACACTTAATTTTTCAACACACACTTAATTTCTGAATGGAAACATTTCTGAGTCTTGGTTTATTTACGGTTAGTTCTGCAAATGGGACTTTCTTCTGTGGTCTAAAGAACCAAATTACTGAAACCTGTTACAACATGAAGCGTGTTCGTCTTGTTCTAATTCTCTTTTTCTTCCCTCACAGGATTTGACAGGTGGAGCATTTGAAACAAACCTGAACATGCTGAACTTGAAGGAAGGGATGGATTTTTATCACTTCAGCTAAAAACTAAGGTAAGACAGTGATACTGAAGCTGTGTTATCCTCTATGTATCTGTGTGTAGGAAGACTGTGTTAGAATTTTTTTAGTAATTTGTGCTCCCTTAAGTTGATCTTTGTGCTGAGTAACCCCTTTCTAAGGGAGGCCCTAGTTACGCCACGGATAATGCTATTTGCTCATTTTACTATTGCACATCACTTGTTTTACCAAATTCAATTTGGTTGTTAAATTGTATTTCTAATCTAAATAACCATCACAGAATCATTAAGGTCAGAAAGACCTTTTAAGGTCATCAAGTCCAACCATCAAATACAGGCTGTAAAATTAAAAGAGAACTGTTACCATAGGGAAGCCTTAAAAAATGCATCAAGCACAGCCTATAACCACGGGGAGTGTAAAGAGAGGTTTCTGTCAAACATTGCTGGGGGCCCTCACCCATTCCCTGCCTTGGCTCATTTCCTGCTCCGGGGAGCTGCAGCCAGTCTTGCCGAGGTGAAGCTCCGCACAGGGCTAGGACCCCACGGCATCCTCTGGATCAGGGCTGTGTGAAGAGTACAGCTGGGTCCGTAACATCATCTGGCAGCCAGATGATCACAACTGTCACTGGACCTTCTCAGGTTTTTTTGAATAAGCAGGCTTTGCCAACACAGCTCCTGGTTTTTCTTTCAGCAGGGACCTGTAGGTATAACTTTGAAGAACCGGGATCTCGCAAGAATGTACTAGAAACCTTCATTTTAATGACAGTGTAACAACATAGGGACTGTGGGTTCAGGAGTCTGTCTTCTGCAGTAACACCTTTAAGCAGCCCATGCGGCGTGTGCAGCCACACGGCCAACTTGGTCTGTCACCCAGGGAGTGAATCGAGTGCTGTTTGCTTAATAGGTAGTCAGTGATTGACGCTGATCTACGCTGAATCTCATCTGCAAGTCCAGGTTGCAATTAACTTAAGAACTATTGAATAATGTAATTCATAATCCATAGTTCTCTTCTTAAAAAGGAAGAGAGAGACAGGTTGTAGTTTTGGAAATGTACACCTGCCAAAGAAGATTGCTGCAGTTTGTAGCAAGTACTTCACAGAGAAACTGGCTTGTTTTTAGTTCCTCTGCCTGAACCTCTCCGTCCTTTTCAATTTTTCATAACTGTGTATATGTGTATATACACACACACACACACAGTGCCACTGTTCTACTTGAACTGCTGGGATAGCGGGATTTAATTAGAACTATCAAATAACCCAGTGTAATGAGAATATCCTGTTGCCTGGGCATTTGTCCTCCCCATCACATTAAAGATAAATGTTGTAGCCATTTCATTTTATAGTCAGTAACAAATGGTCTAAATTCCTAGCAGTTGCTTGAAGTACTGATTCGTCTCTATTCTTCAAGGGGGAAAATTAAAGCTTCAGTTTCCTACATCTAGTTTACCACAAAAACATTTGCTTGAACTAGTTATAGAAAAGAGAAGCTGTTAGGAGAAGCCTTGACTTCAGCTGAACTGAAACCTGGATTTTTTTGTTCAACTATGACATAAGAATGACAGGCTTATCCACAGAGATGCTTATGTTCAGGAAGATTGCCCCATCACTAAGCGTTGCCATTCTTGCCTCTGAAAAACATTTCTAATTGCGACTAATGCAGCAAGTGAGGTTTAATACTTCATGTGTGTACAGCAAGCGCAGGCTGAATGGCTCCATTCAGAGTTGTAGAAGTATAAATCATTGATTAAAAAAAAACAAAACGGGTCAATTGTGACAGAAGTATGAAGAGAAACCGCCATCTTGTGGCTACAGATAATGGCTTTAAAACCAGAAAACATAATGAATCTTTGTTGCCTTCCTACAGCATATCTGCACAATGCTTTCAGACATAATCTCTGCCTCTTATTTTGTTAAACAGTGCACTTTGCAGCTCACGCTGAGAATCCAGTTCGTCAGGATGCCGCAGCACAAACTCTTCCAGGCCTAATGGCACCTGAACCAAGAGCTTCAGTTTACATGCCTGCAGCTTGATTATGCTGAACTCTGCAAGAGAGAAGGAAAAAGAAGAGGTCACGTGGAGTAGGCACGTATCACTAGGTTAACAGTATCCCAGCCATGTAATTAACTTAAACTGAACAGAGGAGACAATACAGACATCCAAAGTTATGACAGTTACAGTCCTTTAACACCGTAATTTTTAACTACCTGCTAGCAAATTTTACTTGTACAAATTTTAAAGGAATGATCAGTGTAGATTCTGGCTGAAGTTAACTTCATTCACCTTTTCACAATGTTATGCTTGCCTTCCTCTACTGTTTCTCCTGTGTCCTCAGGATGCGTGAGCTTGTGAAGAGCAGAGCGTTGTGCACTCTCGTGTGAGCGCAAACTGGCCGCTACCAGGGACATCTGGACAGCTGTGAAAAGTCTTTCATGTTCAGTATGGCTTTCAGAGTGAGCTCCAGCCGTTCTCGGGGCAGGTGCAGGCTTAACTCTTTTTGCTAAAAGTTACACTAACTATTTGCTTATGTTAAAAGAGGAGGAAAAGGGAAAGTTCCAAATTCAGCATGTAACTTCCAGTTGGCACATGATACTGTTTTTAATGGTTCCATCCGAAATAGCTGTATGTATATTTGGCTATTTCTTACTGTTTTGCTTATATTAGAAATAGTCTTCTCCTAACCTGTAAGCCTTCTCCCAGCCTCCGATAATTAAGGAATTGAAATAAGTTTTTTTGAGATCAGGGAGTTCCTCTTGTAACATCTTTATTTTGAACATAACATTTCTATTAGTTGACTAGAAAACGGTGAAACAGCAATGCTCAGGTCAATTTTTGCTCTAAAAACAATTCCTTGTATGAGTGAGAGGTTCTGATTCTTGTTTTCCAAAATCACAAAAATGTTAGTTGCAGGTTTCTTAAAATTGTACTAAAAGCAGAAAACTGTAGACCTGATGGTAAAAACTGGAAGATGAGTAAAGAAACTGCTCCAAGGACAGCAGGGTGTTTTTGAAGGTTACTCATTGTTGTCTTAAGTATTAGTCTTTTGACCAATTTTTTAAATATACATTTAATATAATATATATTTTTTATACCAATGACAACTCAAAACATAGGATCTACTTACATCAGGAAATCTCTTCAATGTAAAGGATTATCTGAGTATTACACAGGAAGAACTGGCTGACCTCAAAGACTTACACAATTATTGTAGTATCACAAAGAGCCAGTTCAACAAGCGCTTTAGAAACGCTGTTAGCCAAGATCACCTTTAGATGCCACGCAGGAGAGAAGACAGGGTGACTTTCAGCCACGGATGCTGCAGCTGTGAAAGAGGCTACTGCAGTTCTGACTCTGCAGGACAACAAAATCATGCTTTGCATAATTCTAGTCCTGAAAATAAGCTTAATGGTGTTCAAATATTTTAGAAAACGAGGGGAATGAAGATCTACCCTCTGAGGTAAAACTTGCTTAGGAAAGAAAGATGACTGCAGGGCTGATGTTTCTGAATTCTAGAGTAATTACAAAGGACAAAACTTTCTAGAACTATGAAAGCAGGACAGTAAAAAAAATACAAAGGCCAAGAATAAATTGATGTAGCGCTATTTTAAGCTTAATGACTTTACGGAATAGATTCTATGCTTGTGGATACCTGTGATAGTAGGGAAGTAGCCTTGGGTCATAAAGTGTTTTCACCTTGTCTTGTATTATTCAAAAATAATTTTTCTTTGAAAACTGTCATGTTAACACATGTTCTCTAAAACAGTAATAACTTTGGACAGAGAGGAAGAGAACCTGTCGGAAACCCTTACCAAAGCAGAAAATTCTGTATTTCTGGAATATTGAGCAGACAGTTTGGAATTGCCCATCATCTATCTGCATTAAAATGAAATGGAACCTACATATGGATATATTGTCTGTCTTCTTATGAATGTATTAACTGTTAGATTTATATTCTTCCTCTTAAGGCAGTGTTAGAATTCTGTGGCTTGCACAACCACGTTACAATTTCGTTGATGGAAGTGACAGGGAAGTTTTTATCCTTTTTCCCTCCCCAGAAAGGGCGGACGAATGGTTTTTGAAACATCTGTACTGTATTATTTCATTCTTGGGTTTGTGTCTGAGTAAGATGTCACACTGCAAGTCTGGAATGTTTTCAAGAAATGAGACTGGAAGGGCTTAAGAGAACAGTCTTCAGCAATTCTGTATCTTCTGCAGTAAGCTGGGAGGACATTCCTCCTGGTGCACATTGATACATTCATGAACTGGTGAGGAACTGCATCTGTAGCACTGCAGTACACCGTAGATTTGATGGAACAATTGATCAGTACTGTGTTTCTTTGGAAAAAACCCTCAGGAGCACATTTCCATACTTTACCTTGGATACCAGCTGCGGTTTGGGCACTTTCATGAGATCACAGAGGCAGTTGCGCTTCTCTCTCACTACTGGCAATTCAGCTTCCCTGCGCGAGGAGGTATTTTCCAGTTAATTAAAAAATTAAAACCTGCAGTTGGCTACATAGAGAAAACTTCTTAAGCTATCCCTTTTATTATTATATTACTATGTATGCATCTATATTTTCACATACATTTCAGATTGTAGAAGTTTTTGTTGTGTCACATTTTAAGAATAATGTTACATTTTTGTACCATCTTAAACCAGATGAACTATAAATGCACAGCAGGTCTTCCAGAAGAGACAGTTGCTAGTAAAGTGTATTCTTTTAGATGTTTGTTTTCCAAAAAATGCACTTATTCATACAGCCCTTTTTACTACAAGTTCACGAATTTATTCTCTAAATTTACAGCTCCTTTTTGCTTTAGAATACTTCACATCAAGAATTTAAATAAATGTCACTGGATTTGGAACTGAAAAATGTTCTACTATCTAAAGAAGCTTTCTCCTGAAATTGAAAATCCAGACCTAAAATTTGTGAGTCTTTTAAAAAGTTTCTGAAATAGCATGATGTCCGTGAGGTAATTTCCTCAAGAACTGTCAGTTACAAAAAGCCCCCAAATGCCAAAAATCCATACAGACAACATTCTTTTCCTTGTTGTAAGAAATCTACCACTCTAACTGGAATGCTGTGAGACTGCTAGTATTACTCACCACTAAAGTAGATTTATTTTGTTTTTCTTAAGTAACAACTGTAAATGGGCTATTAAAAAAATTAACCCTTAGCATGTAAACAGAGTACAAAAACTATAGAGAAAAAGTAAGTTAGAAATTACCTGAATTTTTTTTTTTTTGAGATACCTTGGACAATTTCTCATATTTAATACCGGAAACCTTCCTGTAGCTAAACAAAATTTATACTTATAGAGTAAACTCTGAATTACACAATTGTGTGATAAACTCTCTGTAGTTCCAACAAGGAACAAATACGCATATGCCAGTAATTATCATCTTCCCCAAATATTAATTCTCATTTGGCTTCTTGATGTTAATGCTTATTGTAATTAATTCAGCATTTACTATGCTTGTTTTAGCACTGAGAGAGCTTGAGAATAACAAGCAGCTCGCTCTGACACTCAGCAATGACTTCAGTATCATCTTTTGTAAACAGCTCAAATCTACCAAGATAAAACAATTACGTTTAAGTAAACGAGCTCTTCATCTTTACTCTTAGCGCAATGGGGAACTTAGAGCAAGCCCTGGACTAAGACAGAATAAACCAGGCAGCCAGTCACACCTTAAAAACGACAAGGTGAAAACAGAGCATTTCATTTTGGTGTTTAGGAAGTATTTTGCTTTGTTTTAGTAACCCGTTGATGAGTAGGGCCGTACTGCCACTGCTTTTTCTGTAGCCGTTTGGTGTGTACCACTTCTCAGTTTGGTATTGTAAACATCCCTTTGTGGCAGCAGTAATCTAATCCTACTCAATTGTTTCTGTTAACAAATTCCTTCTGTAGCTCCAAAGCAAGCCTGCTCTTAAATTCAGATTGCATATGTGAGCACTGAATCACACTAAACACAATCCTAAACATCAGTATGTAGGTAAGCAAGTCATCCTAGGAGTAGGCAGAATTGGTGATAACCAGTTCTTCAAATCTGAGACCATTATTCCAGTTTTGTACTGGAAAATTCAGAAAAGCAGCAGCAGCCACCCCTTACAGTAACAAACTTAGTTTTCTTTTCCCAAACATAAAGGTATTTAAGCTCAAGCACAAAAATAAACCAGAAAGTAAATAAATAACAGTTAAATAATGCAAGCATGCAGTCTGCAAATATGTAAACCACAACTGCCAGGTATATTTGTTCTTTGAACTTGTCTAGGTTAAGCTTATTTCCATGAAATGTCAATGAAGACAAAAAACCTATATAATTAATTAATTTAGGCACTCTATTAAATGTTTTTATATGTGTCTACTCCTATGTATTAACTTTGACCACTGTTTGAGGCAGGATGGTGGACTGGTAGACCCATGACCCAGGAGAGTCATCTGTAACAAGGAAAAATGTTTAAACATGGCAGCAAAACTAATAAACTAATTAGTATCTTAAAACTCTGTTTTTCCTCAAATGTCTGAGGCATGCAGTCTTTTATAAACTTTTCCAGGTGACTACAAAGCACAACGCTAAAATTTGCAGAAAGGGGAAAAAACCAGTGCCAAAATTATGGTGAATATTCCCTCCTGCTGTCACTTCAGCGGTGCTGAGAGAACGAGCTCCTCCTGCCCCTGAAAGACACTTTGCTGCTTTGGTGAATTTTGCTTACGAAGAACAGGACCCTATTCCCCCTGCCTGTGGAGGCAGCTAATGCTACAGGTAACAGCAGGTAAAAAAATGAATTACATCATATAAAAGCGGGTGTTTAATTCATGCTTGGGAAACATCTAAACTGTTCCAATTCAAAATACTTGCTTGAATACGACGTTTGTATCATTTTGAGCAATTGCATTTCATGGGAGATTTGAGCTGTTCTGCTAATTCCGTTGTTTTGCAGAGATCCTTCCTTTCCCAAAATCCTGCCAGTGCTCATAAATGCCAAGAAACTGTCTGTGCAGTTGAAGTTTGACTGTTTGCACAGCCCAGTCTCTCTCTCTTTCATGGAGAATTTCCAAGATCCCTCCCTTTTCATGTCGTTAGAAAAATACAGATATTTTACTTTATCTAGTGGTGATTTTATACATACCACTTCCAGTGGGACAACATACCAGTGAGCTCTTTAGAACAGGAGAATTCTTTTCAGCACTGCCTTTCTGGCCTAAAAGTGATAAATAGCTAAAACGACAGTACGGTTTCTCACAGCTTCCTTGCCACCAGCTTTCAAAGGCTTTGACATTTTTTAAAGTTCAGTGGTGCAAAAATTGTTTCGGCTTTTATTACTGTCTGGCAACAACAAATTCACTTACCAGTTGGTATCGCTGAGTATGGTCATAACCTCATCCGTAACGGCAGGATCAAGCACATCACTGTAGGTTATCAGCATTTCGTAAACTTGACTGGCTGTCGTTTTCCGTATCTACGGGAAAGAGGAAGAGGAGGCTTTAGTCGAGTAGCTGGAGTCCTGTATGGAGGAGCCCAGTGCCATCACTGGGACTGGTTCCTCACCATCATTTTATGGTGGAAACCTTGTATTAGTGGGAAGCGCAGCCTGCCCTTGCCTGTGGTAGCCATTTGCTGCAGGAGGGGACTTTGTTTCTGCACCTCAAGGAAATGCACGCTACTACAGTCGGTACCTTTTCACTAAACTTTTTTGCAGTATTTCAGATGAAGGAGGCAACAACTCTGTCCCTCACAGGGAATGAATTCAAATGTGTGAGACTGGCCCAAATGGAACACTTCTTTTCTTGAAATGACTCACTGAGCTGAAGTCTGGCTCTAACCTTGGTTGCGGTAGGCTCACAGTCTGTAAAGAGTCAGCAAAACTCTTTAAAAAACTGTTGGGAGAGATGATGATGTGAGTAACGTGAGCTTTTCACACTCCAGTCTCCGGAAGCAGTTAATTTGCAAGTGTTTTTCCCAGAGTACTGTGCAGTAGTGATGTTGGTGTGCATACAGAAAAAGCGAGCAAGGCTGGTTTCTGCAGTACAACACATAGAAAGATACTAAATGGGAGACAGAAAAATTGCAACAAAACCACATTCTGTTTTTGTTTTTCCCAAGAAAGCCTGATGATAACCAAAGGCAGGCAAACAAATTACAGGGTTATTTCTGGAGTTAGCAATGCCGAATTAAATTGACCCATCTGTAAAAACAAAAAAATGTATTTATGATGTAAAATACTAATAAAACATGAAATTGAAATGCTCTCTCTCCAGTTCTTACACTGTGCCCTTCCTGCAAAGGATTCTTCATGTAGCAAGTACACACAACAGAGAAACAGCTGGAATAAAAATCTCAAGTATCAATCTTTACTGAGTACTTTTTGCTTAAGTTTAAAATCATGTGGTAATCAGCAAAAGTAATCGGTGTTAGAATAAACACTGTTGGCCGGCGTGGGCCAGACACCAGGCTATTCAATGAGTTCTCAAACCACTTTAAGACCTCATATGGGTTCTCACGTTCTTTTTATGTGCCCTTGCAATTACCTCCAACAGCCTTTGTTTCTCCTACACCACTCGACTATCGAAGCAGTTAATGGCTGCCTGTAGCAGCGGAGGTGCAAGTCTGCGCTTACTCACAGGAACATCCACAAACATTCCCAGGTGAAACCCCTGTACTGAACAGCAAAGGCACAGAGAGCTGTTGTACGTGTTTGGCTGGCACAGCAGCTCTTAAGTCGGGGCTCCCAGGCTTTGTACAGTGAAAAAAAAAAAAACCCAAACCTTACTAAGTCCACAAAAATTTTAAAGGATTAAAATAATATTATCCCACATATGACCTTCTTTTATGTATTCGGAAGTAGTAACTCAGGTTTTTGTGTTCCGTTTCAGTTAGCTATATGAAAAAGGTAACCTGATAAACCTTCCTGCGTCCCACAGAACAAATGTATTTTTCTTGAACCAGAACTACTGCCATGTTGCTACTATCAGAAATACAAAGCTAACAGTAATTTATCCAAGTGGAGCTTTGAAGGCCTAAATGCTGAACTGATCATCACTGTGCCGGGCGCTGCATAAAAGAAACAAACGCCCCAGGCACCTAATTAAAAGAATAAGGACAGACGGTGAAAAAGCAAAGCAGTATGTGCAATGTATGTACTTGCAGGTATGCTGCAAGTATCCAGTAGCTTGTTTCAGGTGGCGGTACTTTTTCACTTGAGAAATAAAACCTATTAGATAGATACATTAGTATCTGTTAAAAAGAATGCTGCTTTAATGCACTTTAAAATACAGGTAAAAAATAATTTAATACCTTTGATTGTAATGTCTTCAATACTTACTACAGGAAATGGATGGCAAAGAAGGAGAAACAACTGAAATAACACTTTCTCTCTCATGTCCCCTTGAAATTGAATCAGGCCACAAAACCTAGAAAACATGAGAAAAAAACAGATGTTGTGTTGTAACTGGGAAAGCACATTTTGAGGATCAGAATGAAGATGTGTATCAGAAAAAAGGGCAGGAGGGGAAGCGTTGCTGCCCCCAAGAAATCTCCGTTCTATGTGCTGTGGGAAGGCAAACACGGAGGGTAAGCGTACCAAAATGCTTACGGGTTACCGTGATGCCACACATCTATGCCAAGTGCAAGTGTGGTTTTAAAGGTACTGGACCGGCAGCCCCAGAGTCCGTGCGCTAAAAACCACACCGGAGTCCAGCTGTCGCACAGACACAAAAAGCAGAGGGTAGGCTGCGCATCGATGACGCAGTTCAGAGTGAAAGACAAATTAGGAACATGAGCTACTTCTCATTTTAGGCTTTCTTGCACTCCTAAAATATTACTGATAAAGAAATGAAATGAAAGTTGATAAAATCGTTGCTTGACATTGTTATACCTGCATAATTTTGCCAAGTTTCTGCGAACGGACCTTCGTTTGGCTTTGCAACACTTCGTCTTTTTTCCCCCTCTTCTTTCTCCTCAGCCACTACTCTCTGTCCTGACTGGTACTTTTTTTTTTTTGCCTTCTCTGCTACCTGAACTGAGGGCTTTTACCCTAAAGCCAGATAATAATATTGCAGATGTTTTCAGCTCATTCTAGTGCACAGAAAAGATCTAATCCATTATATGTGTTTTGCATTGGCACCAAGTCAAGCTCTCTACAAGCAAAAGGCAAAGGATTCGCTGCATCTTTAAGGAAATCAACAACAGTTTAGAAGTAGTTAAATTTTACCAGATCCTTCACATGTTTTCACCCCAACCACCCAGAAGTACGTGAGACTTTCACAACCTTCTACCACACGTATTTGTGCGCATTTTTCATTTAAACTTCACGAGAAATAGACCTAGCTGTTCCATCTGGTATGTAATATAGTTACATTTTCTTCACTTTTTATGAGCAAAGAATAGATGATTTCATCAACTCACACTCCTATGCTGGAGCGAAGCTTCCGAATGTCTTTGGATCTCTTGATCTCTTCTTTACAAAGGGTAAATAACTTCACTGAAAAGGGGTGGCTGAAAATGGGGAAGAAAAAAAGATGAGCAATAGATTTCAGTAGAATTTCAAACACATTTAATGATTGTAAAGATGCCAAATTAACATTCAAAGGAGACGAAAGACACAGTGCAGAGCAGTACATGCTTCTTCCACAACAGCACACCCTGCTTTAGGTGGACCTTTGCTAACGACACAGACAATTTGGCCACCAAATTACTGGGCCTTTTTTGTTGTTTTAACAGGGAAGGGAAGAGATTAATTATTTACATTGCTACTACCTGTGTGCTGAGGAATGAATGACATTTACCCAAACTAATTCAGTATATGCATGACAATTGCATGGCTTGTGTTTACAACAAAGCACGGTATGATCAGAAATGCTATGTCAGGAGTTAAAATATTCTACAGCCAAATAAAAATTACTGAGTCTGTGTATCATTGTGGTGCCTTGGTCCTTCCCTAAGGTCTTCAACCAAACTTTACATAAGAGGGGATGAATGTTGTTCCTCAATACTCTACCATTTCACAGCCCAGATTCCTTCAGTGATTCCAGACAACGTAATTAAACACAGTTCTGTGAATTGCACGAGTCACGAAGCCATCTTTAAATATATTTAGCAAATTCTTTTCTTTTTCCACACAGTCTGGGAAACCTGATTCTCACAGCTTTTTCCCAGACACTCATACAAACACAAGTATTGTTAGTATATTCCAAGGATCTATTAAAGAAGTAAAGAGGGAATATTGCTTTTATTTCAGTACAAATTATTTAATCTTTTACTTGCTACACTCAAAGCTGAAGTGCCATAGATGCAAAAGAAGCTACTTCATATTTGTCTAGTAAGCACAATTACTTCTAGACCGCGTATTTTGGAAACCTCACTGTATTGTGTAGGTAAAGCAGAAAGCAAAAATCCTAACATTTATTTTCTGCTACCATGATTCAAAGCTGTGGATAAAAAACTACTCAAAAAAGCTGTGTAGTGCAATCTGCTGAAAAAATGGAGCATTTCAAAGAAGATGTTTATAGGAGTAAGAAGATATTTTGTTAAGTTATTGCACCTTCTTATATAGCTTTCCAGACAAGAGTTCGTGTTTTTTTTAATTACTTTAAAGAAATTCTTAACAAAATACTGGCAAATATTGACTTGGTTTAAAAAAATGACCAACACACCATGGAACCATTAAGCTAAAGAATGCTGTCTAGGGCTGTCTCAATATTGTCCAGAAAACCACACTAAGAGAGTAAACAGAACTGCCAGGTTTTCAATGTTGGTACTGAGGCTTCCTAAGAAGGTTTCAGAGCTGACAGTGGCTTTCGGGACCAAAGAGGGCTGCGTTAGAACACCTCCACCAAACGCTGAAAGAGCAAGTTCCTTGCCATCCTCTGCCTGCAGTCACGTCGGCACTGCTTCCGCACCTCGAGGAGCGCGGTAGGCACGGAAGGCACGCAGGCAGGGGAGACAGGACGAGAATGACAGCCATCTGCATGAATGAGCCTGCATGTGTGTCTACGGACATTGACTTCTCTGGGTCGATGCGGGAAGAGCAAAAAAGAGCGTATCTGCTCTCTTATTAACGAGGAGGTACGGCTCTTCTGACCTGGGTGAAATTTCTCCTCCTTCCACCCCCAATTACACAAAACCAGTGTGTAGACAACTAATTACAATACCTGCAATGCATGCCTGGGTTTCAGCACAGAACAACGGCAATACAGTGAATTAGGTGAGATTTAAATTGGATGAACAACAGGGACATCGCTGAGAAGCACAGCAACAAAGAGGCCAATTGGAACAAGAGCATCTGGAATAAATTTAATACACGTAACCTTATGTGCAGCATTTTGTGTTTAGAACAGATGCACTTTCCTTTCTGTCATTTGCCAATTTTACATTTGCAATAACTAAACCTAACCTATGTGTGATCTCAAATGACTCAAATAGCTTGGCCTCTTCAAAGGAAATTGAGAAAATTCCTTCTCCTGTGTGGGAACAGGGCCAGCAGAAACAGAGTCGGCATCTGGGGAAAAGGGATAAGTCTAAAGTCTTTATGTTACATAAATTGGGCGCACGCGGTACTGCAAAAAGGTGCGGGCTTCTTCCACCTGAAGGTAACTGGGTTTCAACAGTTCAACTGACATCACCTGGGGTGGCCATCGCCACGCTTTTTATGGTTTATTACGCAACAGCAGTGTAATTGCTTTAAAAAAATCCACGGGAGCACGTAATACATAGAAATCATTAGCCAGAGATCGGTGGGGACACATACCATCCTAAAACACTGTAAGAACACCAGAAAAATATTATACATGTACAATGCATGAACATGCTTCTGCTGAACATGTAAAAGATACACACATAAAAAGAGAAGCGCCACTGCTGCCGTACTACTCCAGAAAGCGTTAGATCCTGAATTGCCATTCAGAGGCTATTCCGTTCCCATGGTACTGAGTACCGGACTTCTCAGCCTCACCGTGCTCTCCAAGGCGCGCGCAATCTGTCGGGGCTCTCGGCAGACCGAGCATCTCTGGTGACCATTCACTGGCGAGACCAGCAGAACGACTCCTGCAGCCGCCCGAGCCACAACCAGAAAACAACGCGCCAGTTTTGCAAGGGGCTTCAGGTCGCTCTCCTTTACCCCCCCATCCCTTGTCCCACCACCTGCAGGGAGCTGACAGTTACCGCTATCTTTTAAGAGTAGCCACTGGGCAGTTTAAAAAAGCCCAATACGCTCTGCTTTATTTATGAGAGCTCTGTTTCAAGCATGTTGCCCTTTGCCTCCAGCAGTCTCTCTTGCCAATTAACACTCCCTATGTTATTATGAATACGCTCCACAAATTCACAATGCAGACTGAGATGAAATCAGGAGGTTTTGGGTTGTGCTACCACCGAGAAGAAATGGCATTTCAACCAAAAACTGCGGCGCTGCTTGGGGCGGGAGGGCACACAGGGCAGGGGGGAAATAGCAGGTGAGTGACGCTGCGGTTCCAGGAAGGCTGGAGGCCAGCGCACACCTGCACTGCTGCCAGAAGCAATGGTCGCCCCCCGCCTTCCTCCCTAGTCTGGCACAATTTGTGAGCACGCAGCAGAGCAGATCGAGGAACTAGCTCAAGCGGAATGTTACTGGAAGAAGGGTATTTTTAACTTGGAACATTCTAACGCCGTTCATCACGTAGCAATACAAACCATTCCTGCCAGTTCACGGGAGGGGGAAATTCATGCTGGACGTGCAGGTTTGCGCCAGGTTAAGATGAGTAGGAAGTAACAGCCTGAAAAGTGGCAGGGAGAGCTTTTCTCTTCAGACTCCAGATTCAAACTAAGCCAAGCACAACAAAGAAAAGCTGCTTCTGACAGCCTTTTGATTACCCCGGGGATACTAAGGTTGACTGATTTCAAACCCCACTGGATGGGGATTTACCTTCTTACACTTCGCTTCCCTGCTGGCAGGGTCAGCAGGGCCCCAGCAGAGAAATGACCCACGCGTGACAAATGAATCGCACTCTAAACACGAAAATGGAGGAGAAACACCCAGTGGTTCACTTGCCCTCCTGCACGGAGATCACAAGACCAGACATACAGAGAGCTTCACAAACACCGAAGTTCATCTATAAAGCTACGCCAGAAATGTCAAGCTGTGTATTCTAAACTTTATGAACTATATATGGTGTGAAGAGGCAGGAAAATGCGCCACAGGTTACGCCTCTGCGGGGCAGGAGTGACACCATGTGGCAATTCGCTTCAACTGGAGCACTGAGCTCCTAACAGGTGTCAAACGAATTCAGCCAACAGCTATTAATCCTGGTTAAATTAAGCCGCATGGGACATTACCTGCTCTGGATTGCTAATGTTTTATTAGAAAATAAAGGTCCAGGATAGTGCACAATATCCATTTGAAACTTCAAAATGTATTTGGAAATACTTCTTTGTAATGTGACAGTGGACTACTAAGTGGCTGGTGTAGGCCTAATCCTGATGCCAGACACCCTACAACCCAATTCCCTTGTTAAAACTCCACTCAGCCCAATTGGTAAAAAATGAGAGAAGGAGATGAAATGGGAGCCAAATACCCCAATGAATTCTAGTGTTTAATTCCCAGCTTCTCCCAAGAGTTTTGCATTTGCTGTATGACAAGCAGGAAGTTCACAGCAGAGTGGAAGCAACAGGGAAGTTGCTCACCAGCAGTAAGACTGTCTGTTTTCTAAAAACAACCATGTACCTCATCCCTCTTATTATAGGCACGCTTTATATAAAACGATCTGAAACTGCATGCACACGTTAGCTCTTTCGTGCCACCAAGCAGAGCGTCTCAATTTTCAGGCTCATTCTGCATTGTATTTCTACATGTTTATGGCGTGCTGCTTTGCCAAGGCAGTAAATGGTCCCACTCAAGAAACCAGGCCCACAGTCACACTTTTCTTCTATGCAAAAAGGAGTAGGTGGCATCCAAGAGTGCGGGCGGGCAGGCCTCGGGGCCAGGGATCGGCGTTTATCCATCCCTAACTATAGCCAAAGGGCATATGCTGAGGAAAGAAAACGCAAACACTGCACCTAACGCAACGTTGAGCTCACCCATCTACCACGTTCAGCTGATCTGCACGCAGGCTCTTCGAGCACCGCAGAACCCAGTACGTCAGGTTCACTTGGCTCTCCGTGAAGCACGCACAGTGACTCGTTCATGATTACCTCTCAACTATAAGGTACCTATATGACCAAAAACTGTCATACGCAGGAACTAAATTCTCTGCCTCTTTCTAGAGATCAGCTTCAAAATCTTTCCCCCCTGCCCACAAGCCCCTGGATTTTATTGCAGGCTTCTTAAATAAAGCAATGGCACCACAGGACTGAGCTTGAGTCTCGCTTACGCAGCGAATGCAGCAATGCTAACCACGTGCTTTCTGTTTAGTGACCCACGACATGGGAGACAGACTTTAACTGGGATTTCCACCCATAATCTACCACCTTCCTCAGCAGGGAAGACTGGAGCCTTATGTGGAAGTCCCAGATCGCTGGCATGATGACCAAACTGAACAAGAAATATTCACTCCATCTGTGAGTATTTGACTCATTTTAAATTCCCATTCAAAAAGGGACTGCCAAACTTGATTTAAGAGAGATTACCTAAATACACACTTCAAAACAAAAGTAGACACAATTAAAACTTTTAAGAGTGATAAAAGCCTTTCAAATTTATCTGCTGTGAGCAATTCTTGAATCAACAGATTCCAAATCCAGTATACATGCTTATAGGATTTACGTTGTACAATTCTGCAAGTATCTGTAGATGCACCAAGAGGCTGCCTGAGAGAGTTTCTAGAATATATTTTAATATTACCAAAATTAAAATAATTCTCTCCTGAAACATCTGCAAAAAAACATGATTTCACATTGGAATAGCTCATTTGTGTTTATCCATTCCTGAACTAAACGCTTTCCGACAGCTGAACTTGGTGTGGAAAAGCTGGGACATGCCTTTTTTATTATTCTTATTAGAATCTTAATTAACTTCTTTGGAGATATCCACATTAACAAAAGCAGTGGAATTTTGGAAGCGATAGCTTATAGGCACACTATTTTGCAGCATCCCAAGAGGGCACAGCCACGGCTAACGGCTCACAGTACAGTGAAGAAAGCACTCCAAAAAGGCCGCATTCAGAAAGCTAATAAAGGAAAGAAGCTACATGGATCCAATACTGGCCCAGGTCTGCCAGGTGGAACATGCAAATTGAACTTGATTAACGTACTGGTTGCTAAACAATGAACCCATAACTAACTTCGGCACTGACACAAGAGTCGAAGATTTTCTCCAGACCCTTTCCAGGCTATCTGGTCCAGAATTCACCACAGCTGTTCCACTTCAGGAAAATGAAAACTTTATATCCATACACACTCACTCTTGGAGTCCTGTGCACCCACATCTAGAGCAACATTCAGCAGCAGTCAGTGTAAGATTTAAGAGGCTTCTTGCACGGTGGAAAATAAACAAAAAAGACTTTCAGCGACTTACTTCTCTTGCATGGTAAATACATCAAAACAACCATTAGCCAGCATTTGGTCCAGCATTGTCAGGAGAGGTACAGACACCCTGATGAAAGAAAATAATTTAACAATGTAAATACACTTCTTGGCATACATATATATACTATTTTTAATTAGAAGCAAAGAAAGAAACTTCCTATCTACCTACACATATTTAAATTAGAACTCTAATTTACACAGAGGAGGGTTGCTCGGTAACTTCTGTGTGTTGGCTAAATCATCCTTGTTGGCTGAGAGGGGGACATTCCGTTACAGCCAAAAGGAAAAAAACTAATTAACACGCCTGGTTTGAACTTGCAGGGTCCTGAAATCACAATTAATGGTAGTAGAAAATATTAATTTATTTTCTAATATATAAACAACATATTCCACAAAGCATATCAGAAGTTACACCACCTTCTCACTGCAGGTAATTACCAAATGAACCAACACACAATGCGTCATCTGGAGTAACTATGGCCATGTTTTCTATTTCAACAGCTGAGACATGAAACAAAATAAAACTAAAATAAAATGGAAATGGAAAATTTTGCAAGAAAATGGAAAATTCTATTAATAGTTGTGGGGTTTTTCCCCTAGAGAATATTTTCTATTTTGCACACATTTGATAAGTAAGGCTTAGAGAAATTAAACTCATTATGCAGAATGAGTCACCTTTAAAGAGAAATCTTCATGAGAAAATTATACTTCAAGTATTTGTGGAAAAACACTACCTAAATGAAATGCAGACTGGACTACACTGAAAAGCGTGCAGCAATAACAATCCCCAATATTGCATTATGTGAAAACCGGTGCTTATCACATTATGTGCAACATGAAACTATAGTAAACGCAAAATATTCTACCATCACTCCTTTGTTACACGTTTTCCCAAAGGTACTGCTGTACCAAACAGATGTACTAAAGCAAATTTCGGCAGCGCAGGCGTACTTCATCTAGGCATATTAAAAAAGATGTGCCATACATCTAACTTCAAATAGTCCTGCTGTTCAAGATCAAAGAGCAAAAGAAAAACATTACCGGTCATTCCGCAGGTTGTCCTCAAAGACCTTCAGCAGCGTCTCACAGAAACTCTCCATAGCACTGGAATCATTTTGGATTTTCTTCATGTAGTCAAAAAGGCTCTGGGCAGAGTATCTGAGCTGCAAAAGAAGGAACCGCAAATCAAGTGAATAAACCCCGCCACGACACCCAAAAACACCGACTCCGCAGAATTACGCTTATCCCTTACACCTCACGACCCGAGGTGTACACCTGCACTAGGAACAGGCTCTTCCAACAGCAGCCGAGTGTATAAATTCAGTAACCATATTTGACAGGAAGATGGCTATTTTACTTTCATTAATCCTTTTTCAAGGAAGGGGTTTTTTCCTTTTTAAGTTTTGCCATTGTAGGAAAAAAAGACCACATTAAAGGTTCATTATTTTCTTTCTCTCAAAATAAAACATCCCCAAACCGCTATGATTATCCCGCTTTACTTCAAATAACAATATTGTTATGGCTCTGAAAGTTAAAGAGTACACAAGGAGTTCAAGAGGTAATATTTATTAAACAAGCTGATGTAATTGAGAAAGGCAGCCAAGCTCTTGGGCACATGGTGCAGGCCACACAAACCAGCAGTAAACTCAGGTTAAAAATTAAAAACAACTCAGAAATAATGACTCTCGGTTTAACTTTGTTATGTTAATCAGCTAGTTCAGAAAGACGGCAGAAGGAGGTTTGAGCGCTGATGCTGCAGGCGCAGCTGGAAGCGGCGCGTTTGGGACACGCCAGCTGGTAAATGTCCCCACAGCCTTCGCTCGACAGCTT